CGCTTCCAGGTGCGCGAGCCCCTTGCCCCAGCGGCCCCGGGCGTCTGTGCTGCGGTCTAATGGCCGGCCGGCCCCTCCCGGGAAATGCCCGGAGCCCGGCCTGGCGTTTTCTACTGTTTCTCGCCGGCAGCAGTGAAGGGGCGAGGGTGACTTGAATGCTCTTTCCCCGCAGATCCTCGGGAAAGTCTACTCCGTCCTGAGTGACAAGGAGCAGAGGGCCGTGTACGATGAGCAGGGGACCGTGGACGAGGACTCGGATGTGCTCAGCCAGGATCGGGACTGGGAGACGTATTGGAGGTTACTCTTTAAAAAGGTAGAAACAAAAGGAAAAGGTAGAAGACTCTGGAGACTTTCGCGACGATTCATTCCTATTATTTACTCAACAAATGTTTATTGAATGCCTCTGAGGCATTGAATTGTGTGTGAAGGAAGGGGAATTTGGCCTTGAAATATACACACACACAGGCATTCCCCAGGAGATGCATACTGTGCTGGGCGTCTTTGCTGAAGAACAAATGTATTTGACCGCTGGGTGAGCCCCGGGTGTTTTTCTATGTACATGTACACATGCCCTCTTACTGAGATGGGCCTTGCGTTGCCTGTTGATGTAGAGTGCTTGCTTGTAGTAGAAAGGGGGGTGCTTAAGTTTTGACAAGATGTGCCTTGTTTTACGTATCCAAATGCCAGTCCTGAGTGTTTCTCTGGATCCCTTCCCACCCCTGGAAACTTCACTTAAAATTTCCTGGTCCATAATTTAGTAGTTGTGAAGGTCGGAGTAGGGAGAACTATGGAAAAGCTTCGGCTGAGAAAATTTCTGGAACACTTTTTGGAGAATCAGGGATTGAGACCTGTATGTCCTTTACACCCAGTTTCAGCTCAAGCAACTGTTGTATTTTGGGAGAAACATTTCAACACCTAAATTTAGCTTTCCTAGAATACCTTTTAAAATAAAGTTAAAGCATATGTTTCTTATTTGTTTAGATATCTCTAGAAGACATTCAAGCTTTTGAAAAGACATACAAAGGTTCTGAAGAAGAGCTGGCTGATATTAAACAGGCCTATCTGGACTTCAAAGGGGACATGGGTCAGATCATGGAGTCGGTGCTGTGTGTGCAGTACACGGACGAACCCAGGATAAGGAACCTTATTCAGCAAGCCATTGACGCTGGAGAAGTCCCATCCTATAAGGCCTTTGTCAAAGAATCGAAGCAAAAGATGAATGCTAGGAAAAGGAGGGTAAGACTTTGAATGCTATTTATTTATATATTGACTGCTTCCAAAAAGAATTTGAGGATATTGGCAGTAATTGAAATAGAGACAAAACTGAAATAAGGATAAGGACTAACTTGCTATGTAGTTCTCATCTAATAAAATGAGCATATCAGTTCATCGGGAGAAACTTGTTTTCCCTGGTATGTTGTGCTTCAGAGGATTTTACTACTGATTATTTAAATAATATCATCTTGAAATATTTGTCATATGGGCCGATTCTTGTACCTTTGCTGAGGCATTTCTCAGTAGTGGGGTTCAGATACCTAGGCTTACACAGTGGTTCTCAGTTAAGGGGTGAGGGAGAGGACAACAGAGACTCTTAAAAAGAAAATACTGTGTCTGCTTAATACAAATTCCTTTGCTCTTGCCCAGGTTGATTTTTGATTTGGGTCCTGAATATACATGTTAAAAAACTATTGCGTTTACTTTTTAAATTCCAAATTTACTTTGAGGAACACTTTTTGGAGAATCAGGGATTGAGACCTGTATGTCCTTTATACCCATATGAAACTAGAGTTGGTGGAGGTAGGGATGGTGGTAGGGGAAAGGAACTCAAGGACAGCTGGGGTTCTGGGAGGGAGTAGATTCAAGGTTGCAAACATCTGTGCCTCTGGTCTGGGGAAAAACCAGACTGGTACCTAAGTAACCATTGCTTCGACCTGGCTTTCATAATGGGAACTCCATGGAGAGTATACAGTGTAAGAGGCAGATACTGCCCTTAGTTTGTATGGCTGGATTGGGGGTGAACGTAGGTCTGCAGCATTTAGATACAAGATGACACAAAGGAAAGCTGAAGTATGTTGAGAAGTGGAATGTGTATTAAGAGCTATCGTTTTGACTCATAGGGTACCTTTATTTAGACTCAAGCAGTTCAAGTTGGTGATTATTTTCTCAGGTGAAACTTAGCACAGCAGTATCTAGTAGTAGGATATTAGCTTGAGAAAATTCTCTAGAGTATTGTGAGGAGGGGTTGGCAGTTTTGAGAGCGATTCCAGCAAACGAACTTGGGAAGGGGGGGTACAATATCAAAAGAAATTGGATAAAGACTGAAAGCAGATAGTGGAAACGGTGTCTCTTTATTGGAATAACAAGGTCCTAATGTATCATCATTCCCACTATTAATAGTATTTATTACTATTTAGAAAATTCACTGGGGTTGGGACCTCTTAATAGTTTTAGCTGTTGCCCTGAAGGAAAAAACAACTTATTAACCTTTACCAAGGTACTGTAGTGGTATTTTGGAATCAGTGCCCTAGTAAATTTTGGTCAAAAAAAGTGGCTTTGAAATCAGGTAAAGAAAAGTTAAAACTGAATTTGTTAGCGTTTATTCTGACTACTTGGGAAATTTTAAACTAGGGTTGCTTTCAAAGCTGCCACCAGTCACATGTAGTAAATTGGGTTTCCAGAGGAAGAATCTGAGGTGCCTTTATCCTGGCAATATTTTTGAGGACATCCTTGGTTAAGCTCTCCATGCATTTTGTTTTCCTTCCTATCATCACATGGTTATTAACATGTTAAGCGCCCAGTCAGTCACTGGTGACTGACACTATACTTTCTGTCTGGAAGACAAAACAGGATGGGCGCTTAACGTGTTAATACCAAACTACTTGCTACCCCTAACAAATTGAAATGGGGAAAACTCAGAAATGCTTACTGGAATCAGAGGATATACCGCTTGCTGTCAGCAATTTTGCCTTTTAATGAATGCCGTGTTAATGTAATTTTATTCTAAATAATCCTCAAATTGAAAGGGTCTTATAAATTTGCTTTTGGCAAAGGGTATATTTTTAGGATGCCATGGAGTCACATGTGAATATCTGTTTTAGGCCCAGGAAGAGGCTAAAGAAGCAGAAATGAGCAGGAAGGAGTTAGGACTTGATGACGAAGATAATTTGAAAGCACTCATTCAGGTAAACTTGGCAAGGCTGTCTGTGAAGGTTTGCTGCCATTGCCATTTCTTTATGTTCTTGTTCTGATTCCTACAGCTATTTTGGAGTATATGTGTAATGTTTTTTTTTTCTTTTAAGACCTAATTCATATATCATATTCGCCTTTTTGAAGTGTACAACTCAATGGTTTTTAATATATTCATCAAGTTGTACAACCATCAGCACTAATTCCAGAACATCTCATCACCCTAAAAAGAATCTCTTTACCCATTAGCAGTCAGTCACTCCCCATTCTTCCTTCCCACCACTATGTACTTCTGTCTCTTTCAATAGTCTTGTGTTTTGAAAGCTTGTGTTTTAACTCTCAAACAGAACAGACAAAAGGATCGGCAAAAGGAAATGGACAATTTTCTGGCTCAGATGGAAGCAAAGTACTGCAAACCTTCCAAAGGAGGAGGGAAAAAAACAGCTCTCAAGAAAGAAAAGAAATAATGGAATTTTCTCTTCAAAGGTCGTTAGGGGTTAATTAGTGCCATTGTAGGAAAGGTAAAGTCAAGATCTGAAGACAAAAGTCAATTCAACCCTTGAGAAAAATTCTCTTCCACCTAAACTATTCAGATTGAGAATGTAAACTAGTCTCTCAACCTGATCTTATATCCTAGAAATCCCCTGACATTCTGTGAAGTCCAGTCCTCCTGTGAAGGAATTTGGTGATGGTCATTGAGGAAAGAGGGGGAGGTTGGTATACTTCTGACAGCACTTGCTTCTGTGGATCTTTTGTACAAGGTACTTTACCTAGAATGTGGATCTGTCCATACTTCCGTTACCAGCTGTCATTTTGCCACAAGAATGAGCTGCAGAGTATTCAGAGCGATGTGTGTGTTTATTAGAACAAGTACGCTACCTGGCTAGAATGTCTTCAGAACACTTGCTGGACATTGTCTTCTAAATACTTGACAGTGCTTTCAGTCTTAAAACTCTTGAATACATCCTCTCTTTTTGTTTTTTGTTTTTGTTTTTTTACTCAAACAGGTTTTTGTACTCTGCTTCAAGTATAGGAGAAACAGATGTTCACATTACTTCAAGCATCTTTATGACTTAATACATGATTAAACTAAACAAGTAAAAAATGACTTAAATTTTTAATGATCACTGGGATATTACTGCTGAACGTCCTTGGGTAGGTCACTAAGCTTGTCTGAACTTGTTTTCTCATCTATGAAAGGGTGAGGGAGTTTGGGTAAAGGACTTCTTAGAGACTCCCCTGACTTAACGCTAACTCTGAAAGGCAAGCCATCAGTGGTTTGTTTTCATGCGCTTGTGGTATTGATTTGTGAAAATAGTACAGAGATTTTCACTTATATTTAGTCAAATTGTATGTATTCATTAGAATATGTGGAAGTTTTTAAGGGGCTGTTCAACTTAAAATCTCTGATTTTAGACTAATATATTCAATGCCATATGCCCGAAACAAGCCTGGTACCTTTATGTATCATGATTTATCAGCGATATAAACACATGACATGCTTTCAGTTTGTGATTATAAACAAGGTTAAAAAAATACTCTTTAATTGTATTAAAATATAATTTAATGCAGATTGTTTGAAGCATCTTTCTTCATATAATAGCATTAGAACACTTTGATATAAAAAAAATTACCCCAATTTATGATCACTTGAATTTATCCCTCTGAAGATTAACAATAAGATTTAAAAAAAACGGTATGATCATCAAAACTAAAGTTCAATGAAATTTAAAAAAAATAAATTTAAGCCATAGTTAAAACCATTGCTGCATTCATGAGTACACTCAGGAAAAGGTCCATGGTAAAATGAGAAGAATGCCGAAGTTCTCTACTTCTGCTCTTAGGATATGTTGATACTGGAATAATCGCCAGGTGTCTGAAATTTTAGGGAATTGTATCTTGCTGGCTCACTAACAGAAAGATTCTATAAATTTTTTAATTGACTTTTAGAGCTACAGGAGAAAATCTGGCAAGTTGAGTTTAATATTTGGAAAAAAAATGTGACCACTAAATTACTTTAAGAAAGAAGCGTAACCTGATATTAAGCAGGCATTGTGAGGTTGAGCTGTCCTATCTGAAAAAAAAGTAATATGCATTACGATTTATTACATATGCTACTTTACACTAGTGTTCAACATTTTTGTTTTTAATTAACCCTTCCATATCTTTCTGCTTATGGGATTGGACATGCAAAGAGAAAGCTTTAGGAATGACATCTGTTTGATGAGGAGCTCAAATTTTTGTCAGTCCTGTCTCCTGAAAATGATTCAAAACTGAGTACAACTCCAGAAATTAATATAAGCAGTATTCCAATGCCAGTGACAGCTTAATGTTATTAATCATTTGCTGTTTTCTGTGTATGTGTACTTTCAGAGAATCCTATAATAATTGAACTGTTCATTGTTAACAGACAACATGAGCAGTGATTTGGGAGTAGTTAATTCTTTTTGGGTACAAAACTTTACTGTCTAGTGGAATAGTTAATGCTGAAAGAAGACAGTAACTGGGGATAGAAATAGTACCCATATAATCTTTGGCAGATGCTATGTTTTCTCAGTCAGTTTTACCAAAATAACTCTTCATGAAGATAGCTTCAAGTTGTCTCTTGTAAACAAACTGCATCACACGATGAGTGAACACTGATTTATGAAGTCTTCCCACGTGTTCCCTGTAGCCTGAAAGAGGTTCTCATTTGCTCTAAGGTCCCTGCCTGGTTCTAGAGACTGGTCCACTTCTGTTTTGAGTTTTTGTAGACCCATGTGATTGAGAACCTGTCAGACAAAGGACATCACAGAGTAACATTAGTAGACAATCTAGATTTGGTAAACTCAAATTCATACCTAAGGGCTTTGTTGCTCCAATAATCAGCTGGGATTTAAATTTGGAGACTGGGAACAAGTAGTAAAGTATATATTTACCAAGGCAATAAAAACCTTGCATATTTTATGAAAAAACAAAAATCTATACTAAGATATAAAAGCAGTAACAGTTTTAGAGAGGAGTCCACTAATTGAAAAAGACTAAAATGTGTTTCACTTAAGTAAATGTTACACTAGTTACATCTGACCATCAGCATGGCTGAATGTAATAACTTAGCTCAGAGGCAGGATTGCTTCTCTATGATGACTGATCCAATAAAATAATCCATTGAAAGTATTCAAAGACTACCTCACTGCCACTAGAAACTGAACTAGGAGAATTCACTTGGACTACAGAGATTGTTGGAGGCAGGTTATTTTTTAATATACGAGCTGATTAATCTTATTAACAGCAAACATCAACTACCCCATTTCTAAGTTTCACCTACAACATAATGAGAATGACCTGGTGGTGGTAAGACCATTTTAGGAAGAATTAAGACATTCTTAAATTTTCTCCCACCACTTATGCAAAAATAGAAGCACAGAATATAACTTAGAAACCAAAAAGTAAATGGGAAAGACTCAGACTCAGCAGCATATCTTGACATTTTAGAATTTCTTTTGTCTTACCTTGCCTAGCAGGATAACTGACCAAAGCATTTAATCTATAGCAATATGAATTTTGCCTACATAATGCAGTGTTTAAATGTTAGGAAAGTGATTTATTTGGCTGAATTATTTTTAGATTTTAAAAAGTTCTATATACTTTGCCAGAGTGGTGAGTCTCAGGTTGATTTACATATGAGAAAACCGAAATCCAGAATTTTTTGGCTCTGAACTATAGCGCTCTTCTCTTTATTATACCCCATCTTCCAAAATGAATTTGAGGTGACTTAGAAAACGTAGGAAAACAAAATATAATAAAACCCGGAGGAAAGGAAAATAAGCATAGGAAAAAATATATAAGACAAAGAAAGGCAGGGTCTTAACATAGCCGCATAGTAGTCAAATAAGTCATGGCCTCACCTGTTGCTCCATATCCCCTACCAGGTCGGGCCTGATGAGGATACTCAACAGCACATGAATGACGATACTGCGTGTCCGGCTGAAAAAAAAAAGTGGAGACACTTTTTTCAATGCTATGTCTCCCAAAGGATAATATGTTAGTAGATTTACAAGGGAAAACCTTGAAATCAGACAACAATTTAAATGGCATTATCTGCTAATCCTATAGATAGGTTGGCTGAGTGCATTCTGTTATATTCCAAGGAAAAAAATCCCACGCCAGAAGCCCATAAAGCCATTTGTTAACTTGTAAAAATGGCAAGTTCTATAATTTTATTAATATGCCTTTAAAAAATCTTAGCATTGATAAATAACCCATGTGGTTTAATGTTTCTAAATATAATTGGCTGCCCAGGGAATGTCATCCAATTTCTATTGCCTGCTGACTGTTTAAGACAACAGAACAGAGCCTTTTCAGTAGCATTGAAATATCGATGACTTGTATACTTGAAATAGGACTCTCGATATGAATCTCAAACATTACAAAGTTACCACAAGGGATTTAAAGATTTTAATGTCTGACTAAAATATTAAAATGCAAAATAACGAAAAAAGCTATCCAGCCATCTCGCTGGCACTTCTGGGATAAAAAAAACCTCCCTCAGTTCCATGTCAGAGCACTAAAATCAAGAGATTTCAGGATTTTTTTTCTGGTGAAGCCCCATGTTTTTGATCAGGTGTCAGCGCAAACTTCGTATTTGTAGACGGCCAGATTGTAAATGTTCTAGACTGTGAGGCGCACACTGCTGCTGTTGGACCTACTCAGCTCTGCATTTGTAATGGAAAGCAGCCAGAGACAGTACGCGAATGAGCGTGGTGGCTCTGCCCTCATAAAACCTAATAAAACAAAACAAAAGCAGGTAGTAAGTCAAATGGCTCATGAACGTAGCTTATGGACTCCCATTCTAGGTGAGAACAGTGCTGGTCTGGCAGTGCCTGGCCAGGCCTCTCATCTAGTGCTCTCAGTTACACTGAGCTACTAGCTCATATCCCTTTTCATGAGAGCAAATTGGGAGAGAAATGGCTATGGTAAGACATTTTTACTTTTATTATTATAAACTATGAAAATGAAACTGAATTTTTTTTAGGTGTTCAGCTTTACTCCTAAGGTAACCAAAATTAAATATTTGATATGACTCTAGCTATAGAATATAATCATTAAACACTCCTTAACAAATGATCTGGATCAAATTATGAGAATACAAATGTAATAAAGGTTTTCAAACTTCTTAGGATTCACATCTAGTAAGAATTAGAAATGCTCAGAGTTCCCTTTGCCCATGTTTTAGATGAATCTCACCCTAAAATCAAGCCTTCTGAGGTCTATTGGGATGAAGTGTTCCCCCCAAGTTTATATCTGCCTGGGACTTATGAATGTGACTTTATTTGGAAATAGTATTTATACAGATATAATCAAGTTAAGTTGAGGTCATACTGGATTAGGGTCATACTGAATTTCAGGCCTAAATTCAGTGACTGGTATCTTTATAAGAGGGAAATTTGGAAGAAGGCTATGTGAAGACAGCAGGAATTGGAGTGAAGCATCTGCAGGCCAAGAAATACCAAGGATTGCTGGCAGCCATCAGAAGCCAGAAGAGATTCTTCCCTAGAGTCTGCAGAGGGAACATGGCTCTGCCGACACCTTAATTTTAGACTTTTAGGCTCTGGAACAAAATAAATTTCTATTGTCTTAAGCCACCCAGTTTGTCATAATTTGTTATGACAGCCCTACGAAATTAATAGTGTCCGTCCATTCATTTATTCTCATTCTAGTGGAGGAAAGATTGTATGGTGTTTTAGGCTCTAACAGTTCCCGAGTTGTGAGTTGGGCTAAGTGGGCTAAACACCATCCTGAAAACTGGTATAGGTTGTGCAGCCACTGGTTCCTGGGCTGAAAGTGTGGCCCCAGGCACTTTCCTGGCTCAACAAGCCCTCTTGTCACAAAGCAGAGGAGGTGGGCTGAGCTCCTGGCATACAACTGGGCAAGGTTAGTGCATGACCAATCTCCCAACCAAGTTTTTTCTATTACTTGCTTAAAGGTAAAGGGCTAGGAAATGTACGAAGTAGTAAGGCAATGTTAGCATCTCAACTAAAAGCCCATCCACCAGTCCACATCATCATCTGATACCACTAGTATAATTCCATGAGAGCAGCGTTAGAAAATGAATTTATGCTGATCTGATATGCACTGGGGTTTAACACTTTCTTTTTTTTTGCTTATTCTCAGAAATATCTAACTTTAATTTTGTTTAGAATTTGTAATTTATACATCAGGCGTTTGTGTGTGTTACATGCTGCTGAGTTGGCAATGACTCCTGGTGACCCTATGAATGAGTGATGTCCACAGTGTTCTGTCCTCAGCGGCCCTGCTCAGCTCCTGTCGACTTATGCCTGTGGTTTCTGTTATGGAGTCAATTCATCTCATATCTGGTTTTCCTCTATTCCAGCTGCCTTTTATTTTTCCCAACATTACTGTCTTTTCCAAAAAACCCTGACTTCTCATAATGTGCCAAAAATAGGATAGCTTCAGTTTGTCATTTTGGCCTAGAGTGATATTTCAGGTTTAATTTATATTTTACCTTATTCTATAAGTTAAAAAAGTGAATTGCAAAGACCAGTTAGAATTTCAGCAAAATGTACTTACA